CCCCAAAACCCCAAAACCCCAAAACCCCAGATTCAATATTAATCAGATTTTATGATTTATAATTATAGTAAAAAATAATTCACATTTAGATATTTCATATATTAAGCCCATCTATGCTTCAATAGTTTTGCAAAGATTAAACGTTTCTATTGTTAAATGAGTCATCATAGTTGTTCAAGTTATTATTTGATCTATGATTTTAACTTGTGATAAAACCAATCTCTCTTTCTATTCTTTCTCTTTCTAATTGATCAAACTTCATAATTTCTTATCTAACATACTCATTTAATCTATGAGAGTCTGGGTCACCATCCATATCACCAATAAGCTCTTCATTATCATCAATGTTATCATTAAGATCTTCATATTCTTCATCATAAAGATCTTTATTAAGCTTGTTTTTTATATCATAGCCATCTATTCTTTTGTCGCTACTATCTAAATTAAAAGGATTTATCTATGGTGCATTACTGCCAGGTGTACCTTTATCCTTATTTCTTTTTTTATTTTTTCTATTGTCAAAGGTACTTGATTCTTCATCCTCTTGTTATTCTTCGGTGTTTTATCTACTTCCTGTGTTTTAACTTTTTGTAGATGAGACTTCTATTCCCTTAGGGAAAGTTGTCCTGTTATCATCGACGATACCATGTTTATCTTTGTAATTTAATAGGTGCTATTCAAGCTAGTGCATTAGCATATGAAGCATGCCATTATTCAATTGGAATGTCTTCTAAAAATTCCTTGCCAGATCTTTGATATTATCTCCTTCATATATACCTATTCTACCTGCCTTTGTAGGAGTTATATTCACATCAACGTACATAAGCAGCTTTTTCTTTTCCCTCTTGGAGTCAATAAAGCTAGGTGGTTTTATTGGAAGAGATTTTAATTTTTCATAATTGTCACCTACTTCCTTTTTCTTTTATTTCTCCTCGAATACTCTTTTTTCCTCAGCTGTCTTTCGCATTCTATTAATTTACTCGTAATAGCCTTTTGGGATTTTATCTGGCTATTTTGATGCAATTTTCTTAGTTTGTCCTAGAATGTTTGGTTTGAATGTACATTCTACAAGTTCCTTGTCTTTCTTAGCTGTTTCTTCTAGTTTTTATTTTTAATTTTTAATTTTTTGTGATAAATCTTTAAAAATTTAGTTTGCCTCTCTTTTCATATTTATGTAGCTTCCACCTCCAGTTGCTTATGATTATTTTAAGATATTTGGTTTAAATGAGCATTCTTCTAATTCTTTATTAATCAAATTTTCTTTTGCTTTTTCAATCTTTTACTCAGCTAAATGATGTCTGTAAAATAATAGCTCATATCTATTAAGATTAGCTGAGCTTTAATAATTGTCTGATTCATTTACTTGTTGATGATTTAAACTTTTGATCAAGGTATTTTAAGAGGAATTTCTAGAAATATGATCTGCACTCACATCTCTTCTTAATATACCTGATCTTTAATTTTCCTCCAGTAGCCTCTAAGTCAATTTTTGATCTAATTTTTTTGTTTGATTGCTTAAATTAGGAGTAAATGTTAGCTCTTAAATATGCTCGTTTATTATATTCGGTTTGAATTTACGATCATTTTATGAAATGACCTCATTATTATTTTAACCCACTTTTAGAGATATAATTGGAGATGTTGATCTTTATCTCAGTGATTAGGTATATGCAATTTTATTTGCATGAATTTATTTGAACTCAATTGCAATCTTTTCTACTTACCACATATTATTATAGGCTAAATACTTATTTAGATTTGAAAGATTTTATGATTCATTTTAATGATCTTCTGTACTTTTTATTCCAAGACTAGAACCAGAATTGTAGTTTTCAAAGATATTAATATCAACCTATTCTTCTAAATAATGATTTTCTAGATACTCAGTCAAGAATCCAGCTGTAGTAGGTATAGTAGATTTAACATTATAAATTAAGAGTAAAAGGACATCGTATAGCATGGCATTATCTATAAAACTATTATTTTGAGGGTTTAGTATTGCCCATAGATTATAGATAAATTCTTTTTCTTGTATCATTAGATTTCTAGTCGTGTTCTAGTAAGTATAGTCATTTATCTTATCATGACCTTTAGCATCTTAATTGAATTTAGGATTAATATATGGTAAATAATTCAAGTTAAAGAAGCACTGCTTGAATTCTTCTAGATCAAGCCCTCCTTTATCAAGCTTATCTGCCTCTCTTATTGATGTTTCAACTTCTTTTTACAGTTTTTTGAAGTAAATTTACTGAGTTTTCTCAGAAAGTTAAGTTGATGCTTAAGTATTAGAGTTGTTATATAGTAAATTAGATCTATCATATTGCTGTTATTGCTAATGAGGATCTTAATTAGATAATCTATTATTGCTTAATTATTACTACCTGCTGCTCTAATCAAATGTTTGAGTTTAATTATTGGGTCTAGTTTAAGATCTATCACTTTATCTAATTGGTGGTTGCTAAGTTTTATGAATTTGCTAAACTGTATTAAACATATTTCGAGTGCTATTACTAGATTTTGTATCGATTTATTATTAGTTAATGCTAGATTACTATGGCTTATTTTTATCAAGAATTGGGCTATACTTTGGAAATGCTCTTGCTTGATTTTGATTAGATTTATGGGCATTGATTGGGGATTTGTTAGCAAATGAAGTTGTCATATTTTAATTCTAACTGATAAAGGATATGGTTTTATTACTAGGAGTTATTGAAGAGCGTTTATCATTGTTTGATTATTCAAACTAAGAAGGAATTTAGTGGATTTTGTTTTAATCTTTTGTTGGAGTTTTACTCTCCTTGATATGACTACTATTATTAACTTAAACTGTGCTAAACATATTCTACTTTTCATTTAAAACTTGATTCTTCAGATCATCAATTTTCCTCTTTTTGATTTCTTCATAATCTTCATACTAGCCAATATTAAATGTACTTTCTTTCTTAAATGAAACTTCCCTTTAATAATCAAATTTCTAATTTGGCTTTAAATGCTCACTTATTATTGAAGTTTCAGTTATCTCTTATAGTGTACTTGCCTAGTACTGTTTGTATTTATTTCTAGTAGGAGACTCTTAAGTAGCAAATTGATTTGCTGCTTTGATGTTAAGGCTTACATAACCTGAGGAGTCCTAATAAACTGTATGATCATTGTGCTCATTATCGATCTGCTACTGCAATTTCTATTTCTATTACTACTTTTATTTTTTCAGGTCAAGCATCATCTATGAGATTAGTCTATCTTCCTCTTCAATGTGATTACTGTCATCTGTATTGTCATTAATATACCTAATATTTTCTCCAGACTTTATTTAGATCTCTAAAACATAAGTTAGCTTTATCAAAGAAATGTTACCATCATTGGAATCGATAGAGCTCATATTTTAGGGCTTCTTCTTAATGAACCTTGGTTAATAGGGTTAATCTTATTAGCCCTTCGGATTTTGATTGTTAGAATTTAAGGATGTGTTCATTAAAAATAAAAGATTAATAAATTAAATGTTAAAATTTACCAAACTAATACATCTAGCCCAGCCTTAATTGAGGCTAAGATATTAAAATATTAGATTAATAACATAATCGTAGGCAAAATCTTTTTCAATGGAATCAACAGCTTAACAATAAACTGAAGAGATAAAGACAGAAGAAACAAAGCAAGTTACTGAAAAACTTCAATACAAGACTACAAGAGACTATTTTGAAGACTCTTATAAGGTAAATATATGATATTTAAGATAATTAATACTAGTTTGTGTCTAAAGGTACACTTCTAGATCTTTGGTTGACAGATAAAGGGGATGAGCATGTTTTAGTTTTAGATAGAACAATTTTCCACCCTTAAGGAGGTGGTTAACCCTCAGATGAAGGTTTCATTACATCAGTTGATGGAAAAGTTAAGTTTATCATTAAGAATCTATAGCATAAAGATGATGCTATTCTTCACATTGGAACTTATGAGCAGGATGGAGAAGTATTCGAAAGGGGTTAAGAGCTACTTCTAAATGTTGATGAATTAAAGCGCAGAGCATACGCTAGATATCATTCAGCTGGGCATTTATTAGATGTTGCTATGCAAAGAGCAGGCCAAACCCAGCTCAAACCAGGAAAAGGCTATCATTTTACATCAGGAGCTTACGTTGAATATATTGGAAATGTCGATAATTCAGTCAAAGATAAATTAGTCAAGGAGCTAACAATAGTTGCTAATTAAATTATCCAAGAGTAACAAGGAGTTGAGAAGGGTGTATGGTCCAAGAATTGCACTTATGAGGAAGCTGGTGAAGCACTTAAAGAAGGCGTTCCTTCATACATTCCAAAAGGACAAGACTTAAGAGTAATTAAATTAACTGACGAGGATTCAGGATGCCCTTGTGGAGGGACTCATGTAAAGCATGTTACGGACATTGTGGAGATTGAGATCACAAAAATTATTAAGAAAGGTAAAAATACAAGGGTCTCATATACTCTTAAAGATAAGTCAAGTTGATTTAATCATTTAAATTCGTCATTTCTATTTACTCTTAAATTCATAGAGCATTGGGGTTTTGGGGTTTTGGGGAGATCGGAA